GTACTTCTTGAGCACCGAACATGATGTTCCACACACCTTGAAATGGATAACTTTGCCTCATTGTCTACTCAAAATGTAAATAAACCAAGCACAGGACCCAACACTCTTTTCCTTCCAGTGGCTGCTTGTTTACAATTAACTATTTGCCATTGATTTCTCAACCCCAAAATAAAGTAGTTGCAGATTCCTTTTGAACAATATTTTCTAAGAAAATCCCGCGATAGACTTGCCACAGGGTCACCATAAGTCAACAATGCTTCAAAAGCACAGAACGGCAGGTTCCCCCCCCCCCCCCGCCAGTAAAACCTGCCCCAGGGCATCTTCTTGTTTATATTAACCTTCCAGGTGCCCATAAACAAGACGAGCTCCAAGAAGGAGGTTTCTAAGGACACTTTTTATACAAAGTTCTTTGGTATTCAGTGCAAATATTATTGTTCTCCTGAACAGGAAGGTGACAACAGTGACTTGTATCTAACACAGTGTTTTTCCTTTCTCATTTCAAGGAAATAAGGGGGCTGTTTATATTTTCTATTTTAGATACAACAGCAAGGGAGAAGGAAATGCAAACAGAAAGCCATTTCGAGCAGGTATGGGCAAACCCAGGCCCAGGAGCCAGATGCAGCCCTCTTGAGCTCTTTTCTCAGGCCCTCCTCCTATCCTTCCTTCTCTCTTTCCTTCCTCCTTCTCTCTTTCCTTCCTCCTTCCCTTCTTTCCTTCCATTCTTCCCTTCCATCTTTCCTCTTCTCTCCCTTTGTCTCTCCTTTTCTCTTTACCTCCCTCCCCTTCCTCTTTCTCTTTCCTCTCCTTCCACCTTTCCGTCCTCCCTCCCTTCCCTTTTGTCTTTCTTTCCTTCTCTCTTTCCTTTATCCTTTCTTCCTTCCTTTTTCTTCATCCCTTCCTTCCTTCCTTCTCTTTTTCTTCCTTCCTTCCTTCCCTTCCTTCCTTCTCTCCTTTTCCTTCCCTTTCTTTCCCTCCCTTGTCCTTCTTCTTCCCTCTTTCCTCCTTCCCCTCTTCCTCTTTCTCCTTCCATCTTCCCTTCCTCCCTTTTGTCCTTCCTTCCTTCCTTTCCTTCCTCCTTTCTTCCTTCCTTCTCCATCCTTTCCTTCCACTGTTTCATCTTCCCTTCCCTTTCTTCCTTTTTCCTTCCCTCTTTCTCCTTCTTTTTCTTCCTCCCTTCCCTTCCTTCTCTCCCTTCTCTTTTTCCTTCCCTCCTTCCTCTTCTCCTTCCTTCCTCCTCCTCCCTTTTCTTTCTTTCCTCTTCTCCCTTCTTCCCTCCTCTTTCTCCTTCCATCCTTCCTTCTTCTCCTTTCCTCTTCCTTCCTCTCCTTCCCCTTCCTCCCTTTTGTCCTTCCCTCCCCTCTTTCTCCTCCTCCTCGTCTTTCTCCCTTCCTTTTCTTCTTCTCTCTCTTCCTTCCTTCCCTTCCCCTTTCTCTTCCTTTTCTTTCTTCCCTTTCTCCTCCTTCCCTCCTCCCCTCTTTCTCCTTCTCTCCTTCCTTTTGTCCTTCCTTCCTTCCTTCTTTCCTTCCATCCTTCCCTTCCACACTTTCATCCTTCCCTTTTGTCTTTCTCCCCTCTTTCTTCCTCCTTCCCTCACTCCCTCTTTCTCCTTCCGTCCTTCCCTTCCTTCCTTTTGTCCTTCTTTCCTTCTGTCCATCCTTCCCTTCCACCCTTTCATCCTTCCTTCCCTTTTGTCCTTCCCTCCCTCTTTCTCCCTCCTTCCCTCACTCCCTTTCTCCCTTCCTTTTGTCCTTCTTTCCTTCCCTCTTTCCTTCCATCCTTCCCTCACTCCCTCTTTCTCCTTCCATCCCTTCCCTGCCTTCCTTTTCTCCTTCCTTCCTCCTTCCCTTCCTTCCTTCCTTCCTTCCTTCCTTCCTTCCTTCCTTCCTTCTTTCTATCCTTGCTTCCTTCCTTCAGTGAATCCTCCTAGCAGGGAGTGTTGGCATGCAGCCCGCCAAGTTAGAAAGTTTGCTTTTGCCTGATCTAGAGAGTAGGGGACCAACCACAGTATCTTGATGAAACAAAATGAAAAATATATTAGCCTTTGAAATAGAAATCAGATATATACTGCCTTGATATTTTCTAAAGGTGAAGAGAGATTTTAATAAGATGAGTAAATCCTTTTTAAAGACTCTTTTGGAGAGAAAAAGGTGAAAAATTATATATAGCATTAGCTGAGTTGGATTAAAAAAGCCTTCTTATTGCTTTTCATGAGATCTATGAATTGAAATATATATTAATGAAGAAAACACAGTGACTGAATTGATTGAAGGGGAAGGAAGGATAAAAAAATATGCATTAAGAAAGGATTGTTCGTCATAGACGTATTCATGCATTTCTAAGCACAAAGAACAGTGACTGATAAATAGGGCCTGTGTTCTGCCGTCCTATTCAGAGAGACTTCTGACATCTAGAGCAATGTTAAAATAGTAACAGATAAAAAAAAGGCTTAATATTCTCCTTCTAATTTCAGAGGAAGCATTGCGCTGTCCTTGCAAAGAAGGACAAAGTGCAAATGTAGTTCAGATTATGTAGTTCAATTTTATACCTCCCTCATGCCTCTCATAAGAGCGTGTCCTTCCTAAAACCTTCATCTGAAGGACACAGCGTTCTCTGTATTGATGAAGAACCCTATTCTTTGCAATGCATGGAAGGGCTCTGGAGCTGAATGGCATATTCAAACCCCTCGGACCAAATGCCTCTTTTATAGCCATCGAAATCGGCAGCTTGTGGCTAATCACTTCCAGTTCAACCGCACTGTGTAAAAATTCTCACAACCACTGAGAATGCTTGCCATAGATGCAGGCAAAACATCAGGAGAGAATGCTTCTAGAACAGTGTTTCTCAACCTGGGGGTCGGGACCCCTTGGGGGGTCACGATGGGGTGTCAGAGGGGTCACCAAAGACCATCAGAAAAGGCAGTATTTTCTGTTGGTCATGGGGGTTCTGTGTGGGAAGTTTGGTCCAATTCTATCGTTGGTGGGGTACAGAATGCTCTTTGATTGTAGATGAACTATAAATCCCAGCAACTACAGCTCCCAAATGACAAAGTCTATTTCCCCCGAACTCCACCAGTATCCACATTTGAGCATATTGAGTATCCATGTCAAGTTTGGTCCAGATCTTTTATTGTTTGAGTCCACAATGCTCTCTGGATGTACAACTCCAAAACACAAGGCCAATGCCCACCAAACTCTTCTAGTGTTTTCTGTTGGTCATATGAGTTCTGTGTGCCAAGTTTGGTTCAATTCCATTGTCGGTGGAGTTCAGAATGCTCTTTGATTGTAGGTGAACTATAAATCCCAGCAACTACAACTCCCTAATGACAAAATCAATCCCCTCCCAATCCCACCAGTATACAAATTTGGGCATATCGGGCATATGTACCAAATTTGGTCTAGTGAATGACAGTAGCAAAATTATACTTATGAAGTAGCAATTAAAATAATTTTATGGTTGGGGGTCAGCACAACATGAGGAACTGTATTAAGGGGTCACGGCATAAAGAAGGTTGAGAAACACTGTTTTAGAACATGGACATATAGCCCAAAAAACCTACAATAAACCCACTGATTCCAGCCATGAAAGCCTTTGACAATACATTGTGCAAATTACCAGATAATTGTAATCTGGAATCTCAATACTGAGAAAACGTCTAGAAGCATTCTCTCCTGACATTTCGCCTGCATCTATGGCAAGCATCCTCAGAGGTTGTGAGACCTCACAACCTCTGAGAGTGCTTGCCATAGATGCAGGCAAAACATCAGGAGAGAATGCTTCTAGAACATGGCCACATAGCCTGAGAAACCTACAAAAACCCAGTGATTCCAGCCATGAAAGCCTTTGACAATATATTGTGCAAATTACCAGATAATTGTAATCTGGAATCTCAGAGGTTGTGAGACTTCACAACCTCTGAGAGTGCTTGCCATAGATGCAGGCAAAACATCAGGAGAGAATGCTTCTAGAACATAGCCATATAGCCTGAGAAACCTACAACAACCCAGTGATTCCAGCCATGAAATCCTTTGACAATACATTGCGCAAATTACCAGATAATTTAGAATCTCAATACTGAGAAAACTTCAGTCATATATATAAAAAATATATTCAGAAACACACACAGCATCAGCGTTAGAAACGGAAATATTAATTTTACTTTTTGTGGAGAGGACAAAGTACTGATTTTTAAATAAAGGTAGAAAATACAAATTGGTCACTCTGGAGAAAACGTTGCATACAGTGTTTTAAACATGCCTGTACCGTGTATAATATAAATCAGTTTACAAAAGGCAAGTCAGATTCAATTTTGACTCAGCTTCAAATCTAAAAGCTTAGGCTCGAGTGAAAATTTAACAAAACCCCCCAAAAAACTACGTGAGGTTCCAGAAAACCCTATTACAACCAGTAAAACTACAGATTGTGTATCTTCACATACAAAAACCTGTTCATTGGGGTTGAGGAATACAAATCTACGAGGGATATTTTTTAAGTAAGGTCCGTTTTGTTGTAGACACTAGTAGTTCGTGCGCATACCGCAACGAGCGCGTGCGTCGTGTACCGGCATGGCTCGGGAACAACTGTGCTCAGTTTCCGCTCTGTAGCTCACCTGTACGGTTCTGTTCTGTGCTTTAAAAATGTTTAAGAATATCAACTCACCCTCCGCATGTGAGATTCGCTCAGTGATACGGTTTTTGTCAGTAAGGAACCTGCCTTCTGCACAAATTCATCGACAGATTTGTGAAGTGTACGGTGACACTGTTATGAGTGAAAGCAAAGTGCGTAAGTGGGTACGACAATTCAAAGATGGCCGTGACAATGTCCATGATGAGGACTGCTCAGGTTCCTTGCTGACAAAAACCATATCATCACATGCGGAGGGTGAGTTGATAGTCTTAAACATTTTTAAAGCACAGAACAGAACCGTACAGGTTAGCTACAGAGCGGAAACTGAGCACAGTTGTTCCCGAGGCATGCCGGTACACGACACACGCGCTCGTTGCGGTATGCGTGCAAACTACTAGTGTCTACAACAAAACGGACCTTACTTAAAAAATACCCCTCGTATTTGGAGCATTAAACTCAAACATCAAACTATAAATAGTAATGGGGTGGGAGACCAACCCAAAAAACCCACAAACGTTTTAACGACCCAAAAGTCATTACTGAACGTTGACTAGACTTGTTGTTCTGGCACATCAATCCTGAGGACCCTGACTTTTGACTTATAATGATATTCTTTCAAATACAGCTTCACAGACGGAGGGATAGGAAGGGCATCTATGCCATCGTACGTGGTACAGTTGCAAATAACCGTCCTGCATATATGTTGGAGAGAGAAGGGGAAAGTCCTGTTTAACGGAGTAGAGAGAAGTGGCTCGAAGAACATACAAGCGCTTGGGTCTTTGTAATGCTCCAACAACCCGGTGATGTCGGGGGAATGGAAGACGCACGGGTCGTGAGCATCGAAGCTGAAGTTGTGGTTCCACTGCTCAATTCGGGCATGTAAGGAACGGCTGTAGCGCCTGAAACTAACCGAGAACAAGTAATCTTCCTGAGCAGAGTCCCGTAACAAGAAGGTCCCTTCTGGCTTCCCATCCAGGAGGGCTTCCGCAGCGTATTTATCCATCACCCCCCAGTAGCATGGGTTGTTATTGATCTGGAGGAGGTCTGGAACGAGACAATGGACATAATCAATCTGGGTGTGATACTTGGGCGGCGTTTCCAGCTGTATCAGCTCGTCATCGGTTTCCCATCGCGGCTTATTTCTTTTCCTAGAGCTGGTACAAAGCACCATCATTTCGTCATCGGAGTCCATGTCGCTTTCCTCTCGGTTGCTCTTTAGCTGCCTAAACATGGTAGACTCACCCAGGGGGTCACATCTACAAGAAGCGTTGTCACTAACGTTACAAGCCTGCAAAATGGCCGAGCCCCCTCCATCTGTACTCTCAGCATCCCTCAGTTCGCCATCCTTCCTTTCCCCTGCCAACGAGTCCAAACTCAACCAACTTTCAGATCTTTGCTTGACAGGGGCGGTGTGACGTTTGATTAAATGCCAACGAAAGGCTAGTTCGGATCGTGGTGGGAAAGGACACCTGTCCAGCATAAGCTCGCTGATATGTATTTTTCTCTTTGACGGAAGCACCGAAGAATGTCGACTGCCACAGTTCTTTATAGGGAAACACTGCCCCATAGCATCCTGCAGTTTCTGTTTAAGGGAGCGGCCCAGGAATCGGTGGCCGCAGGAACGTTCCAGGTCCAGCTCCGTCGAGGAACAACTGTGTTTCCTTTCTTGGTTCCTCAAACCACAAGAGGATTTCCCTGAGATACTTGCCGTTTCAGCGTCAGAACTGCTCTCGCGCCTTTTCGTCCAGGAAAGTTTCTTTCCGCTCCACACGTATCCATCTTTTCTATCTGCACTTCTGCTCCGACTCGTTTTAGGTCGAACATCGGTATTTTTAGAACTCTTTTCTTTTTTTTCTGCCATTGTTTTTGGTCGTTGTGACAGACTTCGCAAGAGTTCTGAAGCTACTATTTCCAGATCCTTCTGTCCCAGTTTCTGTCACAGAAAGCATCCATCAGGTACTTCTGGAAAAGACCTTTGAAAAAAAGAAAAAACAGCATTCAGTCAAGTACATGCATGAGAGCCCAAGCATACAGCCCTGATTCCCATACATGTAAAGCAGTGTTTCTCAACCTGGGGGTCGGGACCCCTGTGTGGGTCGCGAGGGGGTGTCAGAGGGGTCGCCAAAGACCATCAGAAAACATAGTATTTTCTGTTGGTCATGGGGGTTCTGTGTGGAAAGTTTGGTCCAATTCTATCATTGGCAGGGTTCAGAATTCTATTTCATTGTGGGTGAACTATAAATCCCAACAACTACAACTCCCAGATGGCAAGGTCTATTTTCTCCAAACTCTACCAGTGTTCACATTTGGGCATATTGAGTATTTGTGCCAAGTTTGAGCCAGATCCATCATTACTTGAGTCCACAATCTGGATATAGGTGAACTACAACTCCAAAAACTCAAGGTCAATGTCCAGCAGACCTTCCCAATATTTTCTCTTATGGGAATTCTGTGTGCCATGTTTGATTCAATTCCATCATTGATGAAGTTCAGAAGGCTCTTTGATTTAAGGTGAACTATAAATCCCAGCAACTCCAGCATTACCAAATGACAAAATCAATCACCGCCAGCCCCACCAGTATTCAAATTTTGGGCGTATCGGGTATTTGTGCCAAATTTGGTCCAGTGACTGAAAATACATCCTGTATATCAGATATTTACATAACAATTCATAACAGTAGCAAAATTACAGTTATGAAGTAGCAACGAAAATAACGTTATCGTTGGGGGTCACCACAACATGAGGACCTGTACTAGGGGGTCACGGCATTAGGAAGGTTGAGAACCACTGATGTAAAGCTTACTCCATCTACTATCCCAGGCGTGGGCAAACTTGAGCCCTCCAGGTGTTTTGGACTTCAACTCCCACAATTCCTAACAGCCTACCGGCTGTTAGGAATTGTGGGAGTGGAAGTCCAAAACACCTGGAGGGCCCAAAGTTTGCCCATTGCCTGGGTAGACTTGTATCAGACCCTCTACAATAAATGCATTGAAAATCAAATAAACAAAAAAATAGGCCAAGAAATAAAAATGTCCCAGGGGGAAAAGACATAGAAGAGAAGAATGAAATGCACTGCAAAACCTAAAAGAAAATGTTTATAAAATGCGCCTGAAATGGTATTATTTTATTTATTTATTTATTTATTTACAGCTTTTATATTCCGCCCTTCTCACCCCGCAGGGGACTCAGGGCGGATTACAGTGTACACATATATGGCAAACATTCAATGCCAATTTGACATACAATGTATACAGACATACACAGAGGCTATTTAACTTTTTCTGGCGCCAGGGGAGCTGTCGCTTTCATCGTCCATCTGCGACACTGATGAAGTACTTCCGCATTCTTTCTGGAGTCTTTTTTATGGCCTCATAAATTAGTTAATTTAGCCTCCCCACACAAGGTGGTACCTAATTTTCCTACTTGACAGATGCAACTGTCTTTCGGGTTGCAAAGGTCGACAACAGGCTACACACAATTGGTTGGAAGCCCACTCCAACCCGGGCTGGCTTCGAACTCATGACCTTTTGGTCAGAGTGATCTTAATGCAGCTGACACTCAGCCAGCTGCGCCACAATCCCGGCGCCACAATCCCGGTATCTCTCTCCAGAGAGACTAGCTAAGATCATAGAATCATAGAATCAAAGAGTTGGAAGAGACCTCATAGGCCATCCAGTCCAACCCCATTCTGCCAAGAAGCAGGAATATTGCATTCAAATCACCCCTGACAGATGGCCATCCAGCCTCTGTTTAAAAGCTTCCAAAGAAGGAGCTTCCACCGCACTCCAAGGCAGAGAGTTCCACTGCTGAACGGCACTCACAGTCAGGAAGTTCTTCCTCATGTTCCAATTGAATCTCCTCTCTTGTAGTTTGAAGCCATTGTTCCATTGCGTCCTAGTCTCCAGGGAAGCAGAAAACAAGCTTGCTCCCTCCTCCCTGTGGCTTCCTCTCACATATTTATACACGGCTATCATATCTCCTCTCAGCCTTCTCTTCTTCAGGCTAAACATGCCCAGCTCCTTAAGCCGCTCCTCATAGGGTTTGTTCTCCAGACCTTTTATCATTTTAGTCTCCCTCCTCTGGACACATTCCAGCTTGTCAATATCTCTCTTGAATTGTGGTGCCCAGAATTGGACACAATATTCCAGGTGTGGTCTAACCAATGCGGAATAGAGGGGTAGCATGACTTCCTCAGATCTAGACACTATGCTCCTATTGATGCAGGCCAACATCCCATTGGCTTTTTTTGCCGCCACATCACATTCCTGGCTCATGTTTAACTTGTCCGCGAGGACTCCAAGATCTTTTTCACACGTACTGCTCTCGAGCCAGGCATCGTTCCCCATTCTGTATTTTGTTTCCCTGCCTAAGTGGAGTATCTTGCATTTGTCCCTGTTGAACTTCATTTTGTTAATTTTGGCCCATCTCTCTAATCTGTCAAGATCGTTTTGAATTCTGCTCCTGTCCTCTGGAGTCTTGGCTCTCCCTCCCAATTTGGTGTCGTCTGCAAACTTGATGATCCTGCCTTCTAACCCTTCATCTAAGTCGTTAATAAAGATGTTGAACAGGACCGGGCCCAGGGGGGAACCCTGCTGATGGCACTCCGCTCGTCACTTCTCCCCCTTCCCCTTCTTTTTGTCTTTCTTTCCTTTCTCACTTCTCCAGCTCTGTGAGGGCCTACATCACAATGTCTTCATGGCAACATGGCTCTTTGTGGCACTTTCCTCCCTCCCTTCCCTTCATACACATCACCTTTCTTTCTCTTTGACATCATAGAGGGCCACATCACCTAGCAATATCCAATCCAGTGACATCAGAGGGCCAGTTCACCTGGCAACAGATTCTGTGGTATAGACAGACAGACTTTGACAGATCGACAGACAGATAGACAGACAGTTTATGCAGGCGGTGCAGGTTTCCAAAGTCTTCTGGGGGGCTTATGTGGTCTCCAAGGTCTCTCACAATTTCTCATTCCAGTTGGGTCTATTTACCTGGGAAGGAATCCCACTGGAGCATTGCAGCACACCCAAATACCTGGGAGTGATCCTGGACCATTCCCTAACTTACAAGATTGGGCACTAGAAACAATATCATATGAAAGCTGACTGGCACAACCTGGGGATCACAACTGGGTATAGTGAAGACATCTGCCCTTGCGCTTTGCTGCTCTGCTGATTATTATTATTATTATTATTATTATTATTATTATTAAACTTTATTTGTACCCCGCTAGCATCTCCCGCAGGACTCGATGCGGCTTACAAAGGCCAAGGCCTCAACAAACAATACAACAATACAAAACCTAAGCATTCTCAGTGTGGAACCGATCTCACCACGCTAAAACAGTGGATGTGGCTCTTAATAAGACATACCGCATGACCACAGGGTGTCTGTGCCCTACATCACTGGAGAAATTATACTGTTTAGTTGTTATTGAACCACCTGACATCCACTGGGAAGTAGCAGCCAATAACGAAAGGTCCAAGGCATTGACATCTCCAGCCCATCCTCTGTTCTGATATCAGCCAGCATGCCAACATCTTAAATCAAGAAATAGCTTTCTATGATCTATAGAGATGCTCACCGGAACACCTCAACAAGCAAGAGTCCAAAAGTGGCAGGCTCAATCCCAGAACCTCAATCAGTGTCTGAGACTCCCTCCTGGGCACACAGGAGACTGGGCGACTTGGAAGGCACTGAACAGACTGTGCTCTGGCACCACGACATGCAGAGCCAACCTTAAGAAATGAGGCGATAAAGTGCAATCCTCGACATGTGAGTGTGGAGAAGAGCAAACCACAGACCACCTATTACAATGCAGCCTGAGCCCTGCTACATGCACAATGGAGGACCTTCTTATAGCAACACCAGAGGCACTCCCAAGTGGCCCACTACTGGTCAAAGGACATTTAATCTAATGCCAAGTTTTTAAACTTTGTGTTTTTGAAAATACATCACAACGATACCCTTGGTTCACCCCTGATACGCTAAATAAAGGAATTCTGTTTACCCAGGTATGAACCACCTAGGACATTAAGATCGTTCAGGGAAGCCCTGCTCGCTGTCCCCCCACCATCGCAATTGCGGTTGGTGGGGACAAGAGACAGGCCTTCTCTGTGGTGGCCCTTCAGCTATGGAATTCCGTCCCAAGTGAAATCAGATCCACTCCTTCCCTCCTGTCCTTCCAGAAAAAGGTGAAATTCTGGCTGTGGGATCAGGCCTTTGCAGACTAGACTGACGTGATAGTAGAATTATGGTTTAATGAACCCCAATGGACCCGAATGGACTATGTGTAGGATGATGATTTAATTTTGGTGATTTTCTAATATTTACTGTTTTTATGATGTTTTATAATGTTTTTATACTGTTTTTACCAAGATGTATATTTATGATTTTGTTGTTAGCCGCCCTGAGTCCCTCTGCGGAGGTCGAGACAGGACGGGATATAAATACCCGAAATAAATACAATACAATACAATACAGTACAGTACAGTACAATACAATACAATACAATACAATACAATACAATACAATACAATACAATACAATACAATACAATACAATACAATACAATAATATTTTTGTTCAATCACTTTTGACTCTTCGTGACCTCATGGACCAGCCCAGGCCAGAGCTCCCTGTCGGCCGCCACCACCCCCAGCTCCTTCAAGGTCAAGCCGGTCGCTTCAAGGATACCATCCATCCATCCATCTTGCCTTTGGTTGGCCCCTCTTCCTTTTTCCTTCCATTTTCCCCAGCAAAATAATATTGCACAATCATAAAAAGTTATTTTCCTTATTCTATTTGTTGGCAATGACAACATCTTTCTAAGTTGCACATTGGAATAGCTACTTTCCTCTCCTACATTTAAAAAAAAACCCCAACATTGATAAGCCTTTGGAGCTGCTCATCTTGCAATGCTTTCTGTGCTGTCACACGCTGGGCCTGTGAAAAGGTCTGTGGACAGGACGT